ACACCTTCCACATCGATTCCTCCAGAGGGGGCTTCTAATACGGAGGGGCTTCTAATACGGGGGAGGCTTCTATTATGGGGGGGGGGTTTACAAAACTTGTTTCTTTTTCTTTTTTATTAATGGGAGATTTATGAATGGGAAATACTCTTGAGTATTTATAGTATAATTAATATTATGAAAATGGTTGTTGATAATTCATTAATTTTTTCAATAAGATTAACTTTGGCGTCCATTGATTTACTAATATCCGCAATCGCCGTTTCTTGTTATGTTGTTCAAGTCAAGACACTATTTTATTCCAGCAGCTAAGAAGAGAAAAGGAAAACTAACTGTGTCGTTCAAAATAGTACTGTGCACTTAGAATCGGGACCAGTCTAGTACACTTTTCATAGAATTTTTATAAAACATGTGGTTTGAAAGTGCTGATCATATCAAAATAAACAAATTGAGCGGAAACTGTCAAGAATTGTGTGATACGTAGTCAATTTAGTACTTACTCAAACATCCCAGGTCCAAGGATTAGATAACGAGATATCGAAAAATCTTGTAAACCGAAACTTAATTTGCATAGGGTATGCTTCGACGGCCGGGTTTATGCTCATTAGGAGAAGTATCTTACATCGTGGTCGTTGCATGAGTTCGTTTTCGTTTCTTCCCCATTAGTCGTTATCAATTGGGATAGCTTCGCCAGTAACCTATTCTCAGCACCTAAATGGAGGAGAGAGAGAGAGAACATTTTCTGATCTTATCCTATATCAAAGGGGGAGCGATAAAGGATTCTCGTTGAAATATGGAGCGGTCTTCAACCTTTCAAGGAGGTTAAATAAGACATGGCTAGATGTATGTTGTGAAGGGTCCATGGAATACTAGTAGAAGGTAGGTTAGGCATATCCTCATTCGAATAATTCTATCGGACGCTTGCTTAATATCTGAGAATATATAGACCGTTAAGACATAGAACTGAATTGCAAAAAAAGTTTATTTTTAAAGCACCAAAATGAATTCAGGATTAAATTAAAAAAATGAAAAATGTCGACAAAATTAATCTTAATTTCATCGCGTTCATACCAAGTACAGATGCAGACTTAATTTGTTTACAATGTTCGTGCAATTTCAGCATATGCTTCTACCAACAGACTTGAGTCGTCGACATCAAAATATGTACCATTCATTTTTGCATTTATTTGTTCTAATACGGTCACCGATTTTTGTCCTAACGACAATGTCCAAAATTTTTTAATAAGTGAACCATGTGATCCGTTTAATGTGTTAAGCTCATTATCAGGATTGGATCCTAATCCATCAGTCATAAATATAATGGCATACTTTGAATCATCTTTTTTAGACCGTGCGATACATTCCGCTACTTTATCAAAAGCTACACCAAATTCCGTAAAATGATCACATGCAAATGAAATACTATCCACATTTATATCTTTTATTTCTTCATCAAAATATTCAATACTAGCATTACTGCCAAATTAAATAATTGTAATTCGATCTTTAGTGCTGAGATCAGTACGACGTTGCAAAAATTCTTTAACTGCATCAATCAAATCTGACCATGGTTTACCTGACATAGATCCAGAACCATCAAGAAGCAACATACAATGATATGACTCCACAGCTGCTTTTTTCTTTAGCGTATTAAAAGAAACATTTTCATATCATATGTTTCACATAAAGCATCACCAATTACTCCCCATATTCTCAAAAATTTACCACGTAATTTAGTTAATTCCTCATCATTCAGCAATGATTCGAATAACCAATCCGAATGATCTAACTTAAATTGTGACCATTTCTTCCGTATTGAGCCAACAATAAGAAGTTGATCATCCGGTATTCGTTCACACATAAATAATGAAGCTTCTTTTGTTTCTTCAAATTTATAGCCATTCATTGCTCGCAGTGCATGTGCAGTCATACAGCAAAGACACAGATCGACAATAGAATAGAACGGAGGAAAACATACTAAAATTGTAACAAACGTATTTCTTGTACAATGATCGACCTGTTGCACAACGATGTTTACTGTCTTCTGATCCTGGTTTTGATCCTGGTCTTGTTGTATGGTCAAAATCACACGGACGTAGACAACAAGGACATTGATCATAACATCCACGAATTTTGTCTAGTAATTTAGCATACGTATCATTTTTATCAATTGTGCCAAAATCACATTCATATGCAGTGAATTCACTCATGGTGTTTGATTGTTCTTGTAAAATACGCAGTAAAAATGTTGATAAGTTATCAATTGAACAGCTATCAAATACAGTTGTTAGAGCTTTTGTAACGGCTATTAATTTATCGCGTGGTTTGTGAAGTTGTGCAAATAAATCAAATGTCTGATGAGCATCGGTTGTTATTTTGTATGCTGCGTTAGGAAAGGTATATATTATAGGAATTTTTTGTCCAGTTAAATATTCAAATAATAACATAGCCATACATCGTCGTTTATTATTCAAATGCTGTTTGACATTGAGTGAAATACTTCTGTGGTAAGTTCGATTTTGCCCAATGAGAGTTGGTGTTGCATCAGAGTGGAAGATATCGTCGACAACCTTTGTTCCTCTACCTTTATTTTCAATGGCTTTGTGCATACCTACAAAAAAAATCAAAAACATATAGAGTGTATTATGAATGCATTTTAGATCTTGTGTTTGTTGGCCCGGCTCTAACACCGGCATAGAGCAATAAATCGATTATCTTTCTTGGTAGCACCTCGCCACCTATGTCGTTTCAACACGGTTTTAACACGTTATTGTTTCCAGTCACTTGAGCATCCGCCAATGCATGGTGCGTAAGGCGTTCGACCAGCAGCTACAACTACTATGAGTAGCGCTAGATGTGCTATGCGTTACAAGTATCATATTCTAATAGTAGATTGAACGAGGTCTCGGTAAATAAAAAGAAAAATTCTCTAAAAAGTGTGAGTAACAAATGAAATTCAAATAAGTTTGTTGAAAGCGTTTTTTTTCAAAATATTAATAAATAACGGGAGGAAGGGGACGTAGACAACAAGGCGGGGGGGGGGGGGGGGGGGGGGGGGGGGGGGGGGGGGGGGGGGGGGGGGGGGGGGGGGGGGGGGGGGGGGGGGGGGGGGGGGGGGGGGGGGGGGGGGGGGGGGGGGGGGGGGGG